CGTACGGTTTCCCGCACATGTCGTACTGACTCCGATCCTGATGGCCTCTCAAACGTTATTCCGAAGTCTTGGGTCTCTTCCCGAGACCCTCCACTAAATGCACCTGACCTGAACCTCTCTTCCCGAGGTACCCCAAGTCGATCTACCGCCTCGGGTCTAGAAATCATATCATTTAGGGTCTCGCACCCTGACACAATCACCAGCTCAATCGTCCACAGCTGGACTGCAGTAGCTGAAGCAATCTCTACCCTAAACCGGGCTACAAACTACTCCCAAGACATAGTCTCCAATCCTGAAAGCTCAATAGATCACAAAATCAATCTGTGCCGCCCGATACAAGAGATCCAAGGAGAACCGAACCTTAGCTCCCAAGGGGTAGGGAGTAATGTGGAAAACACTTTCCATCTCCTTATTCCAACGTGAATCCAATAAATTATTCCCAAATAATAACCCAAACCCGAAATGGCCCACAAAGCCTAATAAGGCCCAATCCATCATGGACCTAACCCAAGAAGGCCCAATATCAAAAAAGGCCTGAATTACCGAGTGGTCAACCCTAATCAACTCCTGGTCCAAAGTCAAAGTCAAGGTCAAAGTCAACGCTTCGAGTTGACCTAACTCGTCGAGTTATCCCTGTAACCCGTCTAGTCCATCCCAAATCCAGAATCGCGATGTTGCGATCTAACTCGTCGAGTTTTCCTACAACTCGTCGAGTTCCTCTGTTTACAACAGAATCGCGATGTTGCGATCTAACCCGTCTAGTCTGCCAACCCACTTAATGCATTAAGTCCTTTTTCTTAAATTCAATGGTTCCAGACCTCAGATCCGCTTCCTTAGAGATGTCTAGAAGGGTAAAGTTTCCAACTTTAACCCCAAGGATCATCTAACAAGCTCTAAACCCAAACCCTAGTTCCCTTAAGGAAGGTCTTGACCCATTAAGCCCTTAAACTCTCACTCCAACGTCCCAAAACACAGATTTGAGGTCCTAAGGTAGTTTAATCACGTAAAGTTTTTCTCTTCAAAATGGACATATTTCATGAATGGGACATGGAGGTTATTAAAGTTTGTAACTTTAGTCCTCTAGAGGTCATGTAGGGGCCAGATCTACATCCTCCTCACCCCTGGAAACCTCTCTTCTTTGGATACACAAGACAAAGTCCCAAAACCAAGCCAAAACTACAAGAAATGAGATCTACTAAACTACATGTCAAGGTTGTGACTTTATACCTCAATGATGTAGGCTTTGATGTAGATTTTTTGGATCCAATATCACTCCTCCAAGCTTGATACTTCTCTCTTCAAGACTTCCTTCAAGAATCATCTAAAGCTCAACAAAACTCCATGAACAAAGAGGGAGGCTGTTCTAGGGTTTCTTCTGGCAAGGGAGATTGGTAAGGAGGCCAACCCTAGAAGTTAAGTTCCTTAAATAGGGTATAATGTCCGAAAATTAGGATTTTCATCCCCAGTGTCAACTCGTCGAGTTAGTCTTCCAGAAACACGCGTGACAAATTTCCAACACATCTAGTTCTTCCCCTTGAACTCGACGAGTTTGATTTATAAATGAAGTTTTACCTTCCTTAATTGTCCTTCTAGATTTCGGGTGTTACATCTAGAGTTTCATGTGGGGGATATGGTTCTCCTGAAGGTGTCACCTTGGAAAGGTGTCATCCGATTAAGGAAGACGGGCAAGATGGGGCCCCAGGTATATCGGTCCTTTCAGGGTTTTGTCCCGGGTGGGTCGGGTTGCATATCGCTTGGATCTTCCAGATGAGCTCAGTCAGATTCATAACACGTTCCATGTCTCTCAGCTGCGGAAGTGCTTAGTGGATGATTCCATGGAGGTACCGTTGGAGGATATTCGGGTGGATGACCGCCTGAATTATAGTGAGAGATTGGTGGCGATTCTTGACCGGAAGACGAAAACCTTAAGGAACAAGGTTGTTGAGTTGGTGAAGGTCCAGTGGTAGCATCACAAGGGTTCGGAGTGGACGTGGGAGCCGGAAGATGAGATGAGGGAGAACTACCCGGAGTTATTTGGAGTAGTGGACTTCGAGGATGAAGTCTGATTCAAGTGGGGGAGAATTGTAACATTCATTTTTGGGTATGTCTCTTCTTAACCCAAAGTGTGAATTCCTTTCTTTTTGGCCTTCAAGCTAGTACGAGGGGCGTACAGGGTGGTACGCTTAGCATACTAGCTCGGAGTGATCGCGCCTTTGGTCCACGTACGTTGGGCGTACATTGTGTACACATGGCGTATGTGTGGTTAATGAAACCCTAATTTTTAGGGTATTACACCCTATTTAAGCCATATGATAGCCTCATTTGGTCATGTTTAGACAGCCTCCATCCCCTCTTGTCCAAAAATCGAAACCCTAGTGAGTTCATGAGAGTTTTAAGCCATAAAGAGTGATTGTTCGTGCTTTCTGAAGGAGAAGAAGAAGCGAACCATTTGAAGTTGTGCTTGGAGCTTGAGGATATGAGATTTGTTCATCATTTGTTATCCTTGTGAGGTAAAACGCTTCCATCTTGCTAATCTATGATGTTAGATCTAGTTTTGGTGCCATTTTGTGATTTTTGAGACCATGGAATGATTGTGGAGCCTCTTGATTCACTCCAGAAGTGATTGATGGTAGATCTAGGGTTCTTTTGGTCCCTTTGTCCATAAAAATGCAAGCTTTGAGGTGTTTATGGACTCATGCATGTGTTAAGACCCTTTATTAAGTTCTTTTGAGCTATAGAACCCCATTAAGCCATGCATGCATGTAAAGTTGCCAACTTTACATGATAAACCACCTTAAGGGAGTCATATCTGAGTGTTGGGTTGAAGTCTTAACCGATTAAGAGCTTAATGATGGAAGTTGGCCAAGATGGGGAGTATGTTGGGTGTACAAGCCCCAAAGCGAGTACGCTAAACGTACGATCTGAGTACGCCCTGCATATTCAGCAGTGGGCTTCAGATTTGTAGGCTTCTCGGTATTAGGTCCATGTTGGACCTTAGTAGTCTCGGGCCTTGTTGGGCCATCATAATCCTGTTTTTGGGCTGATGCTGTCTTATTGGACTCTTTTGGTTGAAGGACCATGTAGGGATTTGGGCCCAATTTGGAAAATTGGGCCATATTTGGGCTTTGGGTGATTATTTTGGAATTTAGGCTTTTTGGACAGTTGGTTTGGGCCTTGGCCTTGGGCCAAGTTAGGGAAAGGGTAAAAAGGTCTTTTACCCTACTTTGGACTCTTAGTGTGAGTCAGGATCCAATTATTAATTCGATGTTATTTTGTGATTATAGTGCGAGGATTTTAGCGGGTCAGCAGTCAGAGATTTATCTGTGAGATTCAACACTCTGAGGTGAGTTTCCTCACTTGGTTTAGCGGGTCGAAGGCACCAATGCTGACCCATGATTTTTATGTTAGGATGCTAGAAGTCTGCGTGACTCTTGTATGTGTTATGTGCTGGTATGTATACTGAGCGGGGCTCGATGTCGGGTGAGGCCCGATGACTGTGTTGTATGCTATTGTTTTTGTGATTATCGCATGTGTTAGCATGATTATACGTTTATATGTTTATTATGTGTATCGGGCAGGGCCTGATGTCGGGAAGGGCCTAATGAATGATAGATCTGTAATCCGAGCAGGGCTCGATGTCGTGCGAGGCCCCGAGGCCGAGTGGGATTCGATGCCGGGCGAGGCCCGATGTGGGGTAGGGCCCAGTATGTGTTTATTTATGTATGGTATGGGGTATTTTGAGAAATGTTTATTTACGGTTTTCATTTTATGTTTCAGGTACTTCAGAATCGAAAGGGAAGAGCCCGTGATGATTGCACAACACACACCACCTTTTTCTGCATTTTGATATTTACTCTGATATGATATGATGTAGTGACATACTTTGGTCTATTTGGGTTGTATGACAATGTTTTGAAATAACGTTTTATTTAAATTATAAATGAAATTTTTGGTCTTATGTTTGGGACGTTACATAGCCTATGGTTGTGTGTTCATTACATTTACACATGTTTTGATAGAAATTATTAATTTATAAAAAATCACACTAAAAAGAAAAGAAACAACTAAATAAACTAGGTTTTAACTAGCCGAGATCGATTCTCTAGTTACTTAACCAATCACATTTTCGAATTGTATAAATATTTGAACTTTCTATAATTGAAAGATGAACCCTAGATGTCGACATCTAGTTGAAACTGGACATTTTTAACTTGTTACAGTCTTGACCCAAACCCCAATGAGGCAACTGTGACTCGATGTCCACATCTAGTTGTAACTTCTTGACTATTTACTATATTTTGGTTTCATGTTTAAAATCATTTTAATATTAAAACAAAACAAAAAGGTGTCAACCTTTTAGGTTGTGGTGATTTCGTAAGACATATGGAAGATATGGTGGATAATCTATTGAACCATGTTCAATTCATTGCACTACTATGCCTCTGTGGCCATGGAGGTTCGTCTGCAGTGACTCCAGGGCATGAGACATAACCCTATGTTTGCAGTGAAGATTAGTCAGTACGCAAAAGCTGGAACAAAAACCGTCGTTAGGGGGTTCCCTTCCCAAAAACAAAAAAGGTGTCAGGAAGATACTTTTCATAAGTGACCAAATAGCAATCAAGCCGGCTACAGTTGTCATCACATCTTCCACTCATACAAAGGATAAAAATCAATGACTATGACATAAATAACAACTTGGGTGATTAGTATAAAAAAGTGAAATATTTTCACTTCTATCTTTGATTTATTTTATTAAAATAAAAGTGGTTTGAGTTTTATACCATTATCTCCATTCATTTAAAAAAAATTGTATAAAAATCAAACCACCTATATTTTAAAAAGAAAAGGAAACATCAACTTCATTGTTATAATCCTTAATTGACATTTCATAAAATTATAGTTTTGCTAACAAAGAGGGTTTTTAGACCCTGAAAACACATGTCATCATAAGGGTGGCTAACAAAGATTCCAAATAGCAAGACCAAGAAAAATCTTCCTACATGGCAATCAGAGGGTCCCACAAGACACTTGTGACCAACAACAACAACGTAATAGATTTTGTGGATATGCCACCTCAGATAAGGATAAGCACCCATTGCTTCTCATTGGTCAGTTTCCCAGCATTTCCCTCAAAATCTACTAAATCATCAAACCCCAAACCACAGCCACAAGATCACCACTTCAATCAATATTACAAAAGGATGCACCCACATCACACATTTTCAACTCATACTCACCTCTACAAACTACAAACCACCACTCCAGCGCCGGAAAATATGGCCGCCGTCACACAATCTCCGGTCGCAGTCTTCCGACCATGCGCCTCACGAACCAGGTTCCTAACAGGATCATCAGGGAAGTTAAACAGAGAAGTATCACTCAAACCTGCAAACACTTTCTCATCTGCTTCCTTCAAGATCGAAGCCAAAAAAGGCCAATGGCTACCGGGGTTAGCCTCACCTGGTTACCTCGACGGAAGGTAAACATAACTTCAAAAATCCCCAATTGAAAACCCTAATCGATGAACTAACTGTAAAAGTAAAACCATGTTTAATTTCAGTCTTCCAGGTGACAACGGGTTCGACCCATTGGGTCTAGCGGAGGACCCGGAGAATCTGAAATGGTTCGTCCAAGCTGAGCTTGTGAACGGGAGGTGGGCCATGTTGGGTGTCGCCGGAATGTTACTGCCGGAGGTTTTCACTAGCATCGGCGTACTCAACGTTCCTAAATGGTACGACGCCGGAAAATCAGAATACTTCGCATCATCATCAACCCTGTTGGTGATCGAGTTCATTCTTTTCCACTACGTCGAAATCAGAAGATGGCAAGACATCAAGAACCCAGGAAGTGTAAACCAAGATCCGATCTTCAAAAGCTACAGTTTACCTCCTAATGAAGTCGGGTACCCAGGTGGCATATTCAACCCACTCAACTTTGCACCAACCGCTGAAGCCAAGGAGAAAGAGATTGCCAACGGTAAGTTACAAAATTACCATTTTACCCCTAATACAGATTCTAATATTATTATTTTTTTACAGGGAGGTTGGCGATGTTGGCGTTTCTAGGGTTCATCGTTCAGCATAATGTCACCGGAAAAGGGCCATTTGACAACCTATTGCAGCACCTTTCAGACCCATGGCATAACACTATTGTCCAAACACTTTCAGGAAACTAAAGAGTATCTATCTTCTTTTGCTTTATTTGTAAACCATGGGTTGTGAATATAAAATATGAGATGGTTTTAAGATTTATTTGAACTTGTTGTCATTATCATAATTCACAAAGGTAAGTTTCAGCAAAAGATATATAAGTGGCTGTTTGCTTTTAATTTAATAGGCTTAATGCTTAAAGCACTTAATTTGGATTGTTATTTAGTCGGTGTACAAAAGAAAACAGACCTTACATATACAACATGTCATTACTTATTAATACTTTTTAGTTCATATTATACAACCAAAGTATTACTTTCTAAAAAGAAAAGAAAAAAAGTCTCGGCCTATATCTAAAAAAAAAAAACATGTGACATGAGAATTCTCCTTCAGCTTTCGTTGTTTGACATTAGATGATCCGGTTGCTGAAACAAACATAACTCCATGTTACTAAAAAAGCCATAATAGCAATGTAATTATATTTCTTTATTCATAAATCATAATAGCAATGTATTTTTATTTACCTGAGAGTATGAGTTCCCATAGATCATAGGAAGAGGACATGGAACGGGTTCAGGGTTCCATGGGTTACACAAGTTGTCATTGTAGACATTTCTAGGCATCTCAAAGTTGCAATTTATAGAATAATCTAGAAACCCTTGTAAGCTGGTTGATGTATCTGGCTTCATTTCTTTTGTTTGTGGAAAATTGAGATTTCCAAAGGGGCTAAAAGGGAAATTTGATGTACTACATAGTTCTGCCAAACCACCAACTGCTTGCCTTGACCGGTCAACTTTTTCCATTTCTATCCCTTTGCTGGTAAACAAACCGGAATAGTTTGAAAGAGACACACCAGAACATTCCCCATCTCTGTAAGTGAAAACAAAAAAGAAATATTAATTTCCCAAAATAATCTTAAATGAATCTTTGTGATTTAAGGATTTATGATTTATTGACCTTTGAGGAATGTAATTTTGTTTATCTGCCAAGATCAAATTTTGATTTTCGTTATTCGGAAGCCATTGTAGAGTTTGATCTTCTTGGGTATTGGTCATCATTAGAGGTAAATGCAACCCATTTTGGAACTGAAATGCCAACATTATTGTATGTAAGATCTTGTCAAATGTATAAAGGAAAAGGGCAAAAATGGAATTATGCAAAAAGATAATACCTGGTTTGTGCAATCTAGCGGAATAAGCTTTTGTTGTCCAAAATTTTCCTAGAGATACAATCCGTTGACTCGATTAGTGTTAAATGCAAGAAATAGCAATTAACTTTCATTGATTTTTATTATATGATTATTAATAATATGAAAAAATGAAAGTATAATGCTATAATTAGGTAGATTTTTTAAAAGTACAAAAGCTGTAAGAGAAACAAATACCTTGTGTATCCGAATGCGATCAAGTGATTCCCTTAAGGAGTCTTCCATCTGCTTAAGATGTTCAACGTTCTCAATCTTGTCTGGATTACTCCAATAACTAATCAAAATAAACAAAAAAAAATGTAGAAAGATAAAGAATCATATTAAAAAAAATGTAGGAAATTACACGAAATAGATAGCTAAAGGTTTTAAAGGCACCTTAGTCGCTTATGTAATTCAGAAAGTTGAGATCGCAACATCATTGCATGGTTGCTTAAATCCTGAAAATTATATTTAACTATTAAATAAAATATTATTTATCAACAGAAGTTATTATGCAATTTTCAAGATAAAAAGTTATAGAGATGAGTATCTTGTGACCTCAGCTGATTGACTGCTGCAAAACAGAACAAAACCAAAAGAAAAAAGATAATCAGATGTTGCATCACAAGGGAGAGAAAAGGATTTAGAAAAGTGTCAAGGATTAATGACAACCTTGCCCCTGCAAAATCTTGTATATTTACGTCATGGTCCAGCTTCTTGAACGTCTTCTTCAAAGCCTATTTAGGTAATTTTTATTTAATTACTATTTGAAGATAGTTATAGATGGAAATGAATGATCAAACATATGTAGTCTGACTTACTTCGAGGCTCTCCAATTTCCGTTTAGCTCTTTCTTGTGGTGTTAGTCGAGCAAACTTTGCAATAACCTCATCAATGTTGCTGCAAATAGAAAAGGAATATTAAAAACTTATTATTAATGTCGGAAAGAGCTTTTCTTTCAACAAATGTTGATTCCTGGAGATTTATAACCCAATAAGGGCGTAGTATGAGCAATTGGGATAAGAATTAGTAGGATTAGGAGATGACCTTCGTTGTCCAGTGAATAATGTAGGTTTTCCCGTTGGAGAGAACATAAGAAGGATGATGTCAATATCACATAATACAGATAACTCCTTGGCCTTTTTTAGGATTCCATTCCTTCGTTTAGAAAAAGTCACTTGTCGATTACCAATGTTCTCTAATCTCTTGATTTTCAGCTTCACCCTCCCCATACTGCAATCAACGAAAACCTTCAGATAGAGAGATGAGAAATTAAACATATATTTGGTGTGATATCGTCAGAATTGTTTATATTTATGCAACTGTAATGATTAGATGGCGCAAAATACCTTAAATGTTAGGAAAACCAAGCGATGACAGGTGCCTGCTAAGGTATAACGAAATTCTTTCAAGCAAATATGACCGAATTGATTCCCTAGAAATGAACAGAAACCTTGATTTTAATTATCGGCATACAGGAAGAAACTGAGAGGCATCAAAGTTAACATGACAAATCCGATGCAATCAGAACTCGAGCTATTCAAAGAAATGATGTTAATTCCGTGAATAAATTGAACATGATCACAGAAAGAAGAGAGAGAAAAAGAAAAAAAGGGAAGGTCTTACACTTCTGCTGCGATTGCGGACCTTGCGATCGTCACTACGGACCGATAGAAGCGAACGCTTGTAAGAAAATTTTATATATATATATATATATATATATATATATATATATATATATATATATATATATATATACACACACAGATTGCTGATGCTGGTGACCTGACAACGTTTGGCGGATATATGTATGACGTTCGAACTAAGCGGTGAAACAAAGAGATGATGCTCTACTGCTATGTGATAAATGCGATAAATTATATTAATAGTCCTTTGGATAAGAAAAGTTCTATTTTCAGTCCCTACTAAAAGTGTTGACATATGTGAACCTTAGTAATGTGTCTAATGACAAAGTAAACCATCAAATTCAAGATAACGAGCCATGCTATGTTAACAATCGAATTGGATACTTATGAGGTGTTTGGGTGTTCATTATAAAAAGGATTACGATTATTGAATAAATCAGAACCAAATAATCAACCATAATATAATAAAACACGTTCTAAAAATATACTATTTGTATGTGTTATTGTTATTTGAAGTTGTTATCTTCCTATTCAAATTCTAATAAATGAATAAGTTTATTTACATATTGACAAGTGTCATAATATTAGGAATCATCATTAATATTATAAGCCACCTATGATGTCATATGTCAACCTATTAATTCTCCATTTTAAGTTTTAAAATTTTCACTCTAATTATATAAAACTAGGTGTAAAACCCGTATATTACACGGGTTTATTAAAAAAAGTTTAATGTAAAGTTGTAAACATTAATATTTTTAAAATAATATTTCTATGTAAATATATACATATTTTTTAAAGTCAACTTCCGAAATAAATAAAAAGGAAGTGATAAATAAGTAATTACTTGAATCTATCCTAATATAATAAAGTATGACATATTGTAAATAACTGTTATCAATCGCAAATTTCAAAAAACTTCTTTGAATACAACATTAGATATCGTATTGCTAAGTTTATCATATTTGTCTAAAGTTAATATTTGTTAATCCATACAATTGTCCATGAGTGGACACAAGTTGTCTAAAAAACAACCCCACATTTGATAGCAATTGTCCTTGACTTGACTGTTGTTTATTGTCATCGCAAAACATAGATTAAGTGAAAATTCTTCTTTGAAATGAGAAAACGTTTATTTGAAGGCATCAAATACATTCTTGGAATAAACGTGTGGTTTTGCTATGTTACTTCCGAATATTATCTCTGCTTCGATAACATGTTTACCCAATGTTATTATCGGTAGTCTCATTGCATTACACAAACCATATTTCTGATCAATATTCCTTAGTAACTTATATGGAACATCGACGTTTAATATCAACTTATGAATTGGTAAACTTGATGGTTAAAGACCATGTAGAACATCACATGCGAGTATAAACTTTCATCAAAGTCACCGTGAACAAAATCTAAATGACAACGCTATATGAAGTTATGTATTATTTTTCATCTCCCGAAATTAGTGATAACAAACAATTGTTTATTTATTGAACGACTTCATTTTTTGGTGCAAGGATGGCTCTTTTTGGAAAAAAAAAACATCGAATTCTTGGCATTTTGAAGATTAGAAAGATAAACAAATTTAATTAATTAACTTAGAGGAACAAATAAATCAGTAATGGGAAGATCATCTGGGATATCAATAATTGTCTCACCATCATTTAAACCACTAACTTTTCCTTCTCTTATAGCCAAAAGCCAGATTGCAAATGTTGTTGTTTCTTCAATATCAGATGTTCGAACCTAAACCTCATGTTTTTCGTTAATGTTAAGACTTTGAATTTTAACCAAATGTAGGAGGAACTTAACGAAACATTCACAATCTCTTGTCTATTATAAAAATGACTTATTCAATAGATTTATTGTAAGTGAATATTCATCATTATCAATTTCAATGATAAATTCCTCCGGAGACACTTGCATTGTGAAATTGTTTCGTAAGATTTGAAATAACTCAAAAAATCTAAGATGTTAAATGATTTAAAAGACAATGAAGCTGAAATATGTCATGTATTTGGTTTATAAGATTTTACATGGTACTGAAGTTTTTTCTAAATTAAAAATATTTTTGTTTGCAAAGAATATCAGATCCAAATGTTAATAATTATTTAGGAAATTAGTCATGTAAGAAATCCTTGATTTTAGCTAATCATATCAATATTTATAATCATACAATATTATTTATGTAAATAGAGATCAATTTATGGATATAAAAAAGGAATGACCAAATTTTAAGCTAACATTGTCAATTAGATTATTAATTATTATAATTGTGTATTTTAATTACATTAATGATGTGGGAACAAAAAAATTGAAAATTTTAACTGAAACATCCCAAAAATACAACCCAAAAATTTTTGTTTGAAAACATTACTAAAATCATAATATCAAATATCATATAATAAAACCATGAGTCGTGTATCTCAAATGTCATAATAAATGTATCAAATCAAAACCGATGTCAATATCATGTCAAAAATATCAGAGTCTAACTCCCAGGCTAAAACTGTGGTGTGTGTTATGTCATCATCCCGAGCCCTTCCCCTTGTTAGCTGAAGTACCTGAAACCAAAACTGAAACTATAAGAACGAAGCTTAGTGAGCTCCCCCAACTACCACATACCATACAATAGCATATAAAGCAACTACTGGGCCTTGCCCACTGCATCGGACCGAAGTCCGGAAACTGCATCGGACCGAAGTCCGGAACTAACCAGGGCCTTGCCCTTTCCATCGGACCGAAGTCTGGAAACTGCATCGGACCGAAGTCCGGAACAAACCAGGGCCTTGCCCTCTGCATCGGACCGAAGTCCGGAACTGACTGAACATAGCATAGCATAATCATAACTACTAGCATAAACACATATACTGCATACTGCATCAGACCGAAGTCTGGAACACATAACACAAAGACATGCTTGAATCACAAAGACATCAAGCACACTGAACTACTGCATCGAACCGAAGTCCGAAACTACTGCTAACTAAACGGGCCGACATTGTGGCCGTAGACCCGTTCCTACTGGAAGGAAAACTCACCTCGAAACGCTGGCTGCTGAGATGCTAAATCTGAAACTGTCTGACTGCTGCTCCGGAACTCACCGGCTACAAATCCCATAAACACTAAATCAAATACTGATAACTACTCTCAGGGTAAAATGACCATTTTACCCTTCTGATCAGAGTCAACGCTAAGGTCAAAGTCAACTCTCAGTCAACCCAACTCGTCGAGTTCAAACGGTCATAACATCAGGACATCTCGATTCTACTCGTCGAGTCTCACCTTGGACTCGTCGAGCTCCTTTGTTTCCGAGTCTCACTCCTGTCCAACTCGCTGAGTCATCTCCTTAACTCAGTGGTATCACTCATAATCAAAGAAGGGTTTGGGGACATCGATCCGACTCGTCGAGTCCCAAGTACAACTCGGCGAGTCCATTGCATGTTCAAACTATACAGTTGTTCCTAGGTGATTCAACTGCCTCCAATTCATAGATCTAGACTCCTTAGGCTAGAATAACACGTAAAGTTGCTAACTTTACGTGCATGCATGATGCAATGAAGCTAAATCACCCAAAACAAGCTAGAAATGAGAGTCTAGGGCATAGAATGGGATCTTGGCTGAATAAAGGTGGTAACTTTGAGCTTCTGGAGCTCAAGAGTGCCTAGATCTAAAGTCCTTATATACCCAAAAGCTCTCTACCCGAAATTATCTTGGAAAGGACCCCAAAAGTGGCAACAACAAGCTTTCAAGAAGATCTAAGTGAAAATAAGTCAAGGTACAAACTTTATACCTTCAAGAGCTCTGAAATGCAACTAAAACTCTGGATCTTCTGCCTCTTCTTGAATCACCAATGGATCTCTTCCTTCTCCTAACTTCAAATCACACAAAAATGGCAAGAAAGGCTTTAAGACACTCAATGGTTGCTAGGGTTTCGAGAATGGACTGTGGAGGTGATGGAGGCTGGGGTGAGGACTCATAATGATGCTTAAATAGGGTGCAAACCCTAAGGATTAGGGTTTCCTCTTGATAGACCTACTCGCCGAGTCCATTTCCGACTCGTCGAGTAGTCCACTTAAACCCCGCGGTCTAGCTCGCACCTACTCGACGAGTTAGGGCTACTAACTCGTCGAGTAGCTCTTATAAAATGAACATTTAGAGAATTACTTTCGTACCAGGAATGGGGCGTTACAATTCTCCCCCACTTGTCTTAGACTTCGTCCTCGAAGTCTGCTGAATCTGAAAACAACTCCGGGTAGTGCTCCCTCATCTCCTCCTCGGGTTCCCATGTCCACTCTGAACCTTTCCGGTGCTGCCACTGCACCTTCACTAACTCTACTCTTTTGTTCCTCAACTCCTTCACCTTGCGATCTAAAATCGCTACTGGCCTCTCGATGTAGTTCAGGCTATCGTCAACCTGAATGTCCTCCAGGGGTACTTGTGACAACCCGAAATTTCTATTTTGTACAACCATTCACTTCAATAGGAGTCAAAACTGTTTCTGCTAATTTTCAAGCTTTTTGGGAATAAGTTTGAGTATTTTAAGATTAGTACTTCAGGAGATACCAGGAGAGAGGATGCTTTAGGGTTTATTGTGCAACAATAAAGTCCCAAAGCTCCAAGAGTTTGGAGTTTACGGCCTAAACAAAGGTGTTTACGGCCGTAAACCCTAAATTGGGGGTATATATATGACACTTAGTCATTATTTACCATTTTTCACAAATTCAAGATCCAAACTCAATTCTCTCTCAAGTATCATCCAACAATTCTTCAAGATATTCAACTTGTAAGTGTTTCTAGCCCTAATAAGTTGATATATTACTTAATCTAGTGATTTAACACACTTCCATCCGTGAAATCATTCCAAAAGGTTAGATCTTCAAGTTTCACCAAGAACACCAAGAACACACACTAGTGTTCTTGGACTTTTAGCACATTTTCAAGCCTCTATCTTGTAAGTGCTTCTATCCTAGAGTATAATAAGGCTTGTTACACTTCTATACATCAAGAAAACACCAAGGAAACCAAGGATCAAAGGTGTTTACGGTGCAAG